CCCATCAATGTCTTCAGTGGGGACCACACGGGGAAACCAGCTATATTTGTCACTTCATTATATGCTCTGAGTCTTGGGACCTGCAAGGCCAGGAGAAGGGAACCCCCTTCCTGCCCTCCAGCCTCAGTCACAGCTAGACATCTTGGCGTTAGGTTTCTTGGTGTGTGCTTGGCATCTGCAGGTCTCCTCTCTCAGCTGATGGTTCTGATATTCCACTGGGTGACAATGTTCAGCCTCACCTTCAAGGACATAGGCTAAGAATGGAAGCCCAGGACAAGTCTCAGGGACAGATGGTCTTTGTCTCTCCTACTCCAAGCCAGGACGATCTGCCCTGAGATAAGGGAGCATTCCCAGGCGTGGCTTCTGATGAGGGTAAGGGGGTGGANTTCCTCATGAAGTCTGGGCTTTCCTCATGAGGAAGGATGTGGTGATGGGTGTTATGAAAACAACTGAACTCCTACCCCAAGACTTGGAAGCCAGCAGACCCTCCATGTGTGTTTAGCTGGCCCAGAAGTGAGCACTCTCAAGGCCACAGGGTCGAAAGCACCATGTGAACAAGCAGAGTGTACGTGACCGCTGCCTCAAAACTGGACTCAGCCTTCTCGAGGGCTTCTCTCCCCCAGCAGCCATGGCACAGGGTCAACCCGCTTAACTTTCATGGGCTCACATATGTCATGTCACCTGGGGAGACAGAATTTAGGAGTGCTGGGGACCCACTCACTTTCCTACCCAGAAGAAATTATTTGTGATTCATTATGTGTTTTAAGAAGAATGATTTTTTACCTCATGAACTTAAGTGACCTGAGCCATCAGAATAAAGCCATGTTAATCTACCACACAGGAAAATTACCAACACATGCGCTAACACCTATTTTACCTTTTCTTACCGCAATCAAGGTTTGATATAACTTTACAAATCCTCCCCACAGCTCCAATGATGTACTTGGTTTTCAAGGCCCGTGGTGTGTACTGGCTTCAGTCTCCAGCTTTGCTGACATTTTGTCCCCTCAGGACCAGCCAGAAGCAGCAGCTCAGGAGATCTGTCAGGCCATTGCCTTCTCGTCCCCAGGACCTCACGCGGTGCTCCTGGTGACACAGCTGGGCCGGTTCACAGAAGAGGACCAGCAGGTGGTCAGGCGCCTCCAGGAGGTCTTCGGAGTGGGGGTTCTGGCTTACACAGTCCTGGTGTTCACCCACAAGGAAGACCTGGATGGTGGCTCCTTGGAAGAGTATGTGCGAGAGACCCACAACCAGGACCTTGCCTGGCTGGACGTGCTATGTGAGCGGCGCCACTGCGGCTTCAACAACAGGGCGGAGCGGGCAGAGCAGGAGGCCCAGCTGCAGGAGCTTATGGAGAAAATCGAGGGAATCCTGTGGGAAAATGAAGGGGATTGCTACAGCAACAAGGCTTACCAGTCCTCCCAGCAAAACGTCCTGCTCAAAGTAATGCAGGAAAGACAAAACGCTCAGGGGCAAGGGTCTGAAGTGCTCAGTGAGGAATCCTGGCTGGAGGGGCTGTCCCAAGTCCTGAAGGAATCGGAGAGGACTCACAGACACCTCCTGGGGAGGGTGACTCTTTGAGCCC